ATAATTTTTTTGAAAAACAGTATGTACAAATAATTAACATACCTGTTCACACCTGGTAACCTAGTGGCTGCGACTGATTGAGAGCTGGCAACCATTTTTTTTTACATTTTTCACATAATTCTCTGGCGTTTAATTCATTCAAAAAACATATTGCTGGAATTTACTAAAGTAAATTAATTACAATTGAATTAATTAACGGTAATAGCCGCTAAATTTTGATGGGCTACCCGACTGCAATGTAATATACTGTTATCAATAATTCATTTAAATTAAGTTGCATTGTAAAAACAAATCACTGCAGAAATCAGCCCCCGGATTTTGTTCTAGTTCAACCAACAAGTATTATATACCGTCACCACATCTTAAACAAATTTATGTGGGACCACCCCTGAGGTATCCCCTTACTAACAAAAAAAATCATATAAATCGGACAAGGTGGTAAAGCATTATCGCTAAACATACATAAAAAAATGAAGAGTTTGAGGATTTTCTCACGGGCCCAATTATCATATTTTGACCAAATTTATATGGGACCACCCATGAAGTACTCCCTTTCTAACAAAAAAGAATTATTGAAATCGGACACCGTGTTGAAAAATTATCGCTGAACATACATAAAAAAAATATCGCGACGAATTAAGAACCTCCTCCTTTTTTGAAATCGGTTAAAAAAAATCTAAAGGTTCAATAAAACTGTAATAAATAATTTTATCTGACAAATTATTATATTAAAAAGCATTATTTTTCAAATACGATGTCTATAGGAAGTACTATCTTTTCACAAGAGAATTAAAATTGGATTTGAAATAAAAATGTAACTATTAAACAAAGAAAAGGTTGATATTTGCAGAAATATCTACAAAAGTGAATGAAATATTCCCTTCTACCAGCGATTACGATTTCATCAACGCACCGCTCGGTTTCAATCACCTAATATGAGACTGGTTTGGCTTTCTTAAATTTTGATCAATGTTAGCTTTCATTTAGGTAAAAATAGTAATATTTATTACAATACATATATAAATACACAGTTTGTAAAAAAGAAAATATTTTTAGTCAGTTAAGGGTTATATTGCTTATTATTGCAATCGAAGTGTGTGAATTTCGAGCATTCTTTTTTAATTCTAGAAGGAACAGAAATTAAAATGTTTTGTTAATTTTTGGAAGAGGAAGGAATCAGAACCACGAATAGGTTTCTTTAGATTTCCAAATTTTATCTCTTCAAACATAAAAGTAATATTTAATGTTCTTAGTATAATATAAATAAGTACATGTATAAAAATAAATGTCACCTTTAAAGAGTCATTTTTACATGGCTTCTTTTTGAAGAATTTTGTAAATGGCCCTAAAAATAATTAAATAATTACATTTAAATACTGAAATAACTTAGTCAATTTTAATATATCGCAACTTATTTTATTTACCTTATCCAAAATAGATTTTGTCGTAGAAAATTCATCACGATCTTTAAGATGAGAAAAAAGAAATAGCAGGTAGTAATTTACATAAAATTCATAATCGAAATTACACAAGAATTGAAAATAACTTCTCATTAATACTAAATAGGAATTTCAGAAAAATTTAAATTAAGGTTCTTGACTTTTAAATTATTTCTCTTAGAATATGAATTATTTTTTCCCCATGTTTTAATCTCAAACACCACCTTATACAATATTTAAAATAATTATTTTTAATAACATTCACGCTAACACAATACAACTTGTAACGATTCTTCCGTTTTAAAACAATTTGTCTTGCGCATGCCATACGCTATTTACAAATGTAATGGTTTCTATATTTTGAGGAGGGAGTATTATTAAGCAAACCTTACTTATTTTTCAGAGTTCTATCAGTCATTTAACGAATGTTTTTTGAAACACATTGTATAAATTATATTGAAACAATAAATTAAATTAGTCAACGGCGTGTAATAGTTGTACAAAAAACCTCCATATTACTAAGGTCCCCTAACTATGGGGCCACAATATTGCATTCGTGCTACCGAATTTTTTTATTACCCCCACTTTTTCAACACTTTTTTCCAAGTTTCCGACCACTTTCCGAAAATGCAAAAAAAAAGTCTGGTCGTCTGTTCCTATGTGCACCGATGCGAATGAAAGATCCGATGGCTTGCGGTTTTGATTTTATTATACATATAGTTTCCTCAGAATTTTCGGTTTGACTTTAGTACTTTAAATATCAGTGTTTTTAAAATAGGCCTTTTCATCATGTGATGAGCGCAAGCGCAGCCACCATGTTGAAATAGCGGTAATTCAAATATTTCGTACTGTTTTGATCGACAATGGCTGGGAAAGCAATATTGTCCCTACAGACAAATCAATCATTAGAAAAAATCGTTGATGGTGATTAACTTTTTTATAACTCTGTGGAAGCACATACTTGTGAGCAGTTGAAAAGGCGGTTGAAGTGTCTTGGACGTTTGTTACAAAAGAAAAAAGTGGACTGATTGAGAGGTTAGGTGTATCAATACTTCTTAACTGAGTAAAAAATTAATGGAAACACATAATAATTATAACTCTATTCTAATTAATTATGCCAACCAACTATTAGTACTTGCAAAAATACTTTAATTAACATGAAAGTTAATCACGAGTATAATTAATAAAATACATTATTTAATATTTTGAGGAACATGACATTTTTAATCATATTACTGTGTATACCGAAGTAGTATTTAATATTAAAAAAATATTGTGTAATACCAGATAAGAATTTTCTTCTGTTGGACCACTTTCTCCATGAAAATGTAATAAACAAATGTAAGAATCTTTAGTAACATTATCAATCGATCGAAAACCATTGTCACTTCGACCACATTTTTTCACACCTAATGCACATTTTGAACATGTTTTAATATGGATTTTGCCTGATAATTTGATATTTTTTTACGATATTGCAGCCAAGGCTTTGGAAAATTTATAAAATAATGATTGAATGATTTATACCGTGTGTCACTTTTACATACTCCATAACAACACCGTACAGATAACATAAGTATTCTAATTGATTGCAAAAATATATTTTTCAATTAAGACGCTAAACTTATTATTACTTTGCTTTTTCTTCCTTTTTTTTTATAAATATACTTAAATTAATATTTATCGATTATAATTTTTTTCACGTGGTCATTTTAACATGCTTGTTTACAAAAACAGTACGAAAAAGACGGCTGATACTGACCCATGCGCACAAAAAAAATTGTGATGAAAAGGCATATGAAATGCATTTTTTACAGAGCTTATTTTATGCACTGCCACACGGGTACTGGATGTCATGATTTCAATATGTATGTCAACTCTGAAACCAGACATTTTTTTCTATATTGCTGTCATTCTTAAACGACAAAAAATGATTTAAAGTGTTTTAGACGCTTTTTAAATGATTTTATTTCCGTGTTTTTTCATTATAAGTGAGAATAATTTTTTTAAGTTGCAATAAATAATGCGGATCTTGTGCAAAGAAGTAATGATGATTTCTGCACAAGCTTTAACGAATTTCAAAATGGAGCTCGTATTTGAATTTGATATTAGAATATTAGAAAAAGGTAAAGGGCCCAGATATTACTTTAACACGAGCAAGCTTAAGGGTGTGTATGTGTACATGCCGAAGATGCCTTGATGACCGATGAGTGATGATAGATTATTGGTGTACATGCCGAAGATATCTTCCTCGATGAGTGATGGTAGATGGTTCAAGAAGTGTTGCCAGGTATACGATGATGATCGTTTAATAAGATAAATTTGGTGTTCTGTAAAATATGCACGATAAAATCAGAATGTACGATGATTTCACCACATGACTCAAACGTCCTCTTTCAAAAATAACTGTGTAACATTTTTTGCTTTCTTCACAAAATGCATTGATCTTTTTGCTGCGTAACCGCAACTACTAAAATCGGCCAAGTATATCAAGGAAGAGTGGCATCAGAAAGTGAGCGAGAAAGGCAACATTAGGTGAGGAGCTTAGAGTAACCCTTCTTGTCTTTGTTTATGTTCAGTACCTCGACTATTTTCGAAGAATACAGAGTTAAATCATAATATTTTTAATAATACATTCGTGTTAGCGACTCCTTTTTTCAATTGTATCGAGACATAACATAGTTATTTTTTTAAGCATATTCAAATAGAAGCAGATTTTTTCTTCCATTTGGGATGTCCCTTTATAATAAATGACTTATTGTTTAATACTATACGTTATGCCGCATGACGTGTGCTACCGGCACCGTCGCACCAGAAATAATCATAAATAATTTGGAGAGCCAATCGCGTTCAAGATTTCAAGATGCTTGTAAATATCGATGTGAGCATCGAGGGTGTGCTAATCTTTGGTATGCACACTCTTATTTAAATCCGTACATTTGTGTTACATCGATTGACATCTACTTAACCTTCGCTTATCGATCATCACTCATCGAGGCATCTTCGGCATGTACACACCCTAAGAGACAAAAATCTCAAATATTTATACGAGTTTAAAGGGTAAAGGGACAAGTACTTTTACATGGGGCCACGTAAATAGTATAATATAACCAAACATAATAATAAAAAAATGTTCTTTATGATAGTAAAAAATATTACAATAGCCTTTTTTGTAAATTCCAAATCTCAAAACGTTTTAGGTACCTAGTAGATATAGTCGTTACAAACGTCACTAAATAAACATCTCTATCTAGTCTATAATTATTTATTATCACGCGCCACTACTAAATATAACTATGATGTATTGTTTTATCAAACAATGCATTTTCTGAAACGTCAGAAGTAACGGTTGTCATTATTTTAATATATGAATGAATATGCAATGAGCACCCAAAAGTAATTCAAAATGACAATGTAACTTATATCTACTGCATGTTTTCTGTTTTGGCTTTGAAATCGTAATAAACATTCTAATTCATATTTCCACAGAGAAACACTTTATTTTATCACTCATTCACACATAGGATAGGTTTATTGATCATATAATTTGTTGCAACTTACCTATTACAGCATATCCATAACCTATTTTATTTGTTCCCATCCTATAAGAGGCAGTTGGTATTAAGAATTCATATATATCTTTTGTTCCTAAAGAGTATTCAAATATTTCATGATTTTCTGGTGTGACTTGTGTAAGGTGAATATCTTGTCTGAGATGAGCATCTGTATTGATTATCATTGATTTGTGTTCGTGGGCAGTGAATAACACATGAGGCATCATTTTATTCAAAACCTTAAATAGAAAGGTCAGAAAAATGTAATAAAATATATGTACTGACAAACTTGTTCTGTAAACCTATACAATAGCTCAACACAGTGAACAAAATAAAAAAACGTTAGGTATTGTTCAATGTAACAAAGTTAAATGATTTTTTTAAATATATCGACTTACATTTATCTTTGGGCTAATTTATTTTATGAATTTTATTCAAAGGATATCTTTCTCTGTAGTGTTAATATACACACAACCAAACTTAAACGAAATTATCTATTATTTTTCATAATTTTGGAGATGCATGAACATTTTTTGTTTATGAATAAAACTCAGTGCTTACTAAAGACATTTAATAATTAAAAATAACCCATATAGCAATTAAAAAATTAATTAGTTGACAAAATAACCACCACGGTATTTTTTTTTGTTTCTGTAATGAAATGAGATTTATATTTTTTAATAGCCAAAAAGCAAAAACAAAAAGAAAATTAGTAATTTTAATAATCCGTGTTGTCACCTCTAGCCCTTATGCAAGCTTCTATTCGCCTTGGCATGCTTCTTATTAAATTGTCAACATTGTCTTGGGATATGTTTTCCCATTCTACTAATGCTGCATATCAATAAGCTGTGCGACATTACCTGCATTGTTCGACGAGCTCTAACCCTTCTTTTGAGCTGGTCCCACAAGTGTTTGATAGGATTTACGTCTGGTGAACATGCAGGCCAATCTAAAACTGTGACACTATCCGTTTCAAGACATTACCTAGCCACTCTGCTGGTATGGGGAGGTGCATTATCGTGCATGAAGATAAAATTATCCCCAAATGCAACTGGCAGCCTGAAAACTCGATCGTCTTTCTGTAGCTCTGAGAACCCAAATTCGATGGTCATTGCCTAATATTGATAAAACTCCTAATCAATTACGTCTATTAGATTGCTACACACAGCAAAAATTTAATTCACAATTTAATTTAAAAAATGTTACTGCTGAATCAGTAAGAAAATCCCTTCATCACATAAAAAGTAACGTTGTCGGTCTTAATGACATTTCTTTGCGCATGCTACATTTAGTCGAAGATCATTTACTAAATTATTTAACCTTTATTTTTAATAAGATAATCTCAACATCAAAATATCCTAATGCATGGAAACACGCTATAATACTCCCACTAGCCAAATGTACTGAACCGTCAAACCTTTCTGATCTCCGACCAATTAGTATTTTACCTACCCTTTCCAAATGCTTCGAGAAAATACTCAAAGATCAAATAACAGAATACGCCCATGAAACAGAAATAATAAATTCCGTTCAGTCGGGTTTCAGGAGACAACACAGCACTACCACCGCCCTTGCATCCATTACTGATGACTTATTCCATGCAACTGATCAGGGCAAAATTACATGTTTGGTCATGTTGGATTACAGTAAGGCATTTGATACTATTGATCATAAAATATTATGTAATAAACTTGGCCACTACGGTTTTTCCTTAGAAGCTGTTGCCTTGCTTTCAAACTACCTTAACAATAGAACTCACAAAGTTAAATTAGATCATGAAACATCAAATGCCTTACTTGTAACAAAAGGGGTACCTCAAGGAACCATTTTAGGACCAACTCTTTTCTCCCTATACATAGCGGATTTTCATATTTTCGTTAAAAACTGCTCAGTACACCATTTCGCGGACGACACGCAGATCTATTTATCTTGTAATATTGACTCATTGGTTTCTTTTCAATCTAATTTTAATAATGACCTCAAAAGTTTATTTAACATTTCTGCGGCACACAATTTAAAATTGAATCCTAATAAATCTATTGCCATTTTATTTGGTTAAAAAAAAAACACGCGAAAGAGCTTTACAACAACTGGAAATTAAAATAGGCGATATTCCTCTTTTATTTACCAACGAAGGAAATAATTTAGATTCTAATTTGCGATTTAGCAAACTCGTCAATATGTTATCCCAAAATTGTTACAATGTGTTGAGGTTGATATATCCTAATCGAGATTTGCTCTCCACGAAAATAAAAATAAAACTTTGTGAATCATTAATTTTTTCAAAACTTTTTTACTGCGATACTGTGTACGGCCCAGCATTACTACAATCTGACTCCTTGCGTTTACAAAAAATTCAAAACAGCTGTTTACGGTTTGCTTATGGTATCCGAAAATTCGAACATATTTCACATAAAATGAAGGAGTCAGGTTGGCTAACATTGTCTAACTACCGGTCGTTACACTTGCTGGTATTAGTTCACAAAGTTTTAAAATTACGAAAACCGGAATACCTTTTCACAAAATTAACGTCTTTTTCCAATATTAATAACTATCCCACTAGCAACAGAACTACATTAGTAGTACCCATGCATAGTACCACATTATTCGAAAGATCATTCTCGTACGTTGCTAGTAAAAAATATGATATAACGGCGGAATATAGATCCTACAGTATTCTTAATTTTAAGAAACGTCTCAAAGAAAACCTTTTAGCTAATCAATCTGCATTATAAAACGAAAACATGAACTGTCAAGAAATAGGTTTACTCTCTTGAAAAATAATTTTTGTAAACCTAATTTAAGCTGTTTTCATCAATATTCATTTTGTGTATGAAATAGAATGTATTTATTTGCCTTGCAGGTTAAGTTGAAAAACAGCCTTGTGCTGAACTTCGTCTTTTCATCATTTTCCTTCTTTTTTTTTGTTTTTGTAAATGTGTAACTATGATGAATAAAGACCATTTATTATTATTATCTGATCTTAGGCCAATTCTGGTCTCACCCGAAAAAATCGGTAAAGTATTTTACCCAGATCTTCCCTGGATTTAGAAATTGTAAAACCAATTTTAGTCTAAATCTGCCGGCTTTTAAAAATAATTTTTTAAAAAACTACTTACTCTGTATATAACTGATCGGAAGTGTAACTGGTTTTGAGCCAGAAAAGAACCTTATCTGCATAAAAAATTTGAAGTTTTTCTATTAAGCCCTTTTTGAGCTATCGTGCCGACATACAGACGGACATACAGACAGACGACGGACGGACATACAAACAGACAGACAGAGACAGGCAGGCAGACCGACGGAATGGGGAAACATATTTTTTTGTAATCTAGGGACCCTAAAACGTGAAAATCTGAAAAAATCTGGGAAGGTGACTTTTTCACTATTACAATACTTCCCTTTTATAGAGGGAAGTAAAAAGAACATTTTGCCAATTCTCAATTGTCCAGTTTTGATGATGAAGGCACCAATTTAGCCGGTCAATTTTAATTTGCCTAGATAACTGTGGGACCCGTAGTAACTCTCTCCTACTGTACATCGTTCTCACCTGTAGCTTCCAGAAGTTGTCGTCACATCTCTGGATGATAAACACTAGGATTTCTTCTAGCAATTTGTTCAGTTGTGACTCTTTGACGACTTTGTCTGAGCCTGTTCTTGAGAGTTCCTAGTTTCAAGTACCTTACATATGTTTTCGATACAACACCCTGAGTAGCGCCTACTATATCTCTGCTACGTTTCTTTTGGGCATTCCTTATTCAATGAGAGCAATAATTCTTCCCTTCAGCACGTCTGTTAGTTCAACAAGATATTTTTTGTTTTTTTGGACCGAAATAATATTACCGGAGAATCGTGATTTTACTAATGAACACAAAATTCACAAGATAATAAATAGCAGCAGTCGTTTATTCTTTAGAATCATGTTTGTTTTATCTTAAAGTTGGATTCCAAATTTTTTCCTTACAAAAAGTTTATTTAGAAGTTTGGTTGTGTGTATGTCTCGAGTATTTAAAGCCGATCTCACGGTAGTTCAGGTTACGCTTCGCTCATGCTCCACTCAAGCCGCGATGCAATATTGTGACACGTTATTTAAAAGGAAATATTCATATTTGGCGGTTCGCTTACAGTACGCTCTTAATATTTGGCCGCGGTCTTTCTCTTTGCGGATATTTTGAACGAACCGCGAGAGAACCTTTGCGTCAGTGAGTACAAGCAACAATTAAACGGTGTTTGTTTTTCCTATTCTTGTGTAAAGAGCAAGATTGATGGACAAATAATTGAATTAGTCCGAAATACCAAAAACTTGTACAACCTGGGTGAAAGTTATAGTTTGACATGGCATTAAAAAATAGAAGATGGATAGTGTGACCTGAACGCCTAGGTGTTCAGACTCGGCCTTTAATGTTAGTGGTTTTGACATGGTAGAAGTAAACCCTTTTTATTTTTCTATGAGTAAACCAGTGAAAGTTTGGAACACCTACGTGACCGATCATTGTGTGCGCCGTTTTCTGTTTACATGGTAACTATAGCTCTGAACATTAGATAGTGTCGTAGCGCTGGTGGTTTTATTTTTATCAAACAGTATCTAATTTTGACATATAAAGTGACATTTTTTGTAATCGCAGCAAGTGTCAAAATTATCTACTTTACGCAATCAGCTGCATAATGTTGAACGTTATGAAACTGGTTACGAAATTCATTATGTCACCAGATGTGAAAAGAAATCAAATAAAATTAAACCTTTTTTGGGATTAAAATCAATATATAGATTATTATTGAAAGTTTAAATAGAATTTGGTTAAACTTACAATCTAGTAATATTGTTGTTTTGCCATTCTAAAACAGCACAAAATAATTAAAACTCAATAAACGAAAAATAACCCATTTTTTGGAAAGTCGATAACTTTAAATAACAATATAAACACACTACAAGTCGCTGAGAAGAAATAATTATTATGTTGTATTTGTCAATAAAATGATGCACTATGCAACTGACAATACAAGAAAGTAATATTGGTAGCCTAGATGTCAGTAATGTTTTACTAAATCACAATTTTATAAATAATCTAGTCAAAATTAGAAAAAATATTGTATGTACCGTTACGAAATTCCATTTTATGTAACTCGTTCATGTTGCGGGAACTCGCTCTGCTCGTTCCACAAATATTCCCTCGTTACATAAAATAAGGCATTTCGTATCTGGTTGTATAAATAGCAATTTTTTTTTTTTTTTTTCGAT